TTCAGAAGCCCCACATGTTCCTCCTGCCTTGGACAGCAGTTGCTAGGTACAACTGATCTTGACCACCACCACTCCCCCCGGCCCCCTGTGGCGGGGCATGTGAGGACAGAGGCACCAAGGCCTCTGGCAGCTCTGCCCTCCTGACCAGGGGATGTCGAGATGGCTGCCAACCAGAGCAAGTGGAAACTCAGAGAGGTTGCTCACTTACCCAAGGACGCAGAGCTGGCAGGAAGCACGAGAGTGGGTGAACTCTTTGGATGGTTACAGGACCTGAACTTCTGAACTGACCAGTGGGATCCACAGACACTGGCCGCGCTCCTAGTGGAGCACATGGCTGCACTTCCCACCAGCCCCACAGATGTCCCACGCTCTGCCCTGGCCTCGCGGCAGTTCCTAGAGAAGTCTCCAGAGCTGTCAGAGCATCCTGATGAGGAACAGGCATAGGACCCCCCAAGTCCACTTGCCTCCATAGGCCCCAGGCCCCAGGCCAGAGAGGATGGATCTACCTAAGCACACATTCCATGATGTGGGAGCCCCACTGTCCCTTTGGTTTTTTCGTGAAATGCTTTTACATGAGGTGCTGAACTGGCCAGGGTAGGAAGGGGAGCTTGACCCTAAGCCTGGAGCCCGGGCTGTTCCCACTCTACCCTAGCCTCAGCGAGGAGGCAAGACGGGCAGCATAGTGTGATGGTTGTGCCTGGTGTGCTCCACCAGCCTCCCATGCCTGTCTGGGTGGGCTTCTGTGGTCTTCCAGCCTCACCCAGCCTCCATGTCTCCACTCTAGCAACTGGCTTTGAAAATGCCCGGAGGAATCCAAGCAGCACACAGTTGCTCAGGCTCTAACTGAGGCTGGTCTATGGGGTGGAGCATCACCTCTCAACACTTACTGGGGTGAGTGCCCTGATGCCCCCAAATGTTTCTGGTGCAGGCATCTGGGGCAGGGTGAGACCTGGCCTTCGAAGTGTGTGTGTGTGTGTGTGTGTGACTTGTGACCACAGGCTAAGGCTAAGGTAGCTGGAGTCAAGCTTGCTGGAGTGTGACAATGTGGTCCGGGAATCTGCCAGCGGCCTCTGCTCCTCCCAGCCTGCTCTGGTGATGGTGGTGTGGTTTGTTTCTGCTTCAGGCAGAAGTTATGGCGATGACTCAGGAGCACGGCTGGCTCCCTGGACGCTCCAGAGCCAGGAAGCCTCTGCCAGAGAGTGGCCAGTGCCGGCCTTGAGTGCTGGGGTGAGAGGGCCTTGGTCAGGTCTAGAGACCAGGACTCTACCAAAGTGGCTGGATAAATCGAGCTAGCCACTCTGGGTGGGCCCTGATTCCCCGGGAGAATGGAGCTTCAGAACTCTCAGTTCTTCCCAAATAGTTCATGCTGGGGTGAAAGGCGGGAGCAGAGAGGTCCATGCTCCCCAGGAACCCCTTCTCTTCCCAAAGCCACCATGACTCACCACCCCGCCCCCCAGCGGCTCCTCCCAGGGTCAACAGGTCACACTGTCAGGAACTCTGGCCCGTGTTCAGGACTGAGAGGAGGATGTAAGGCTACTGGAGATGAGCCCGAGGCATCCTCGAGGACCCTGTCACCCAGAAAAGCCACATAACAGTACTCTCATGCTCACATGACCGATGTCTAGAGTTGGGGGGAGACCTTGTGCCAGCCATCCCATGCACAACTGAGGTTCATGGTATCACAGTGGCCCCCCACCTGCGCCATCCTGAACATCACTGGTCAGTCACAGGCAGATGTGGAAGAGTGCAAGACAAAGCTTTCTCCAAACAGACGGCTGGAGACAGCACAGGAGCCTGGAAAGGGCCAGCAGCTCCCAGAGCAGAGGAGGCCTGCTGTGCTTGTGGCCTCCTGGGCAGCAGAGCAGGGTTATAGGCTTTACGCCTGCCTGGCCCCAGGAAGCACAGGGTCCACCCACTGTTAAGGCTGTGGCAACAGGTCTGGGCACCAGTGACCATGTCTATTGTGTCTGTACCCTGGGCAGTGTCCAGGGGCACAGAGCTAGAGAAACGTGTACATACACTGCATGCATGCACACATATACATATCCACGCACGAATACATGTGCACATGTGCACACACATGTATAGGTTTACACATATACATGCATATTATGTATGAATACACATGCACACACCAACACACTGGTGTGTTTTGAAATCCTGGCCTTTCTTAGAGTCAAAGCAGACACCAAGAGGAAAAGAAGGTCATGTCTTCCAAGGTCTCTGAGGTGGGGACTCCTGCTATAGGGACTAGGAAGCCCTGTTGCTGAGGCACGCCTGCACTCACAGTTGCTCGGACCTTTCCTGGGTGTTTTCTGAGGAGCAGGAGATCCTGGGTCCACAGGCCCAGAATGATGCTGCAGAAATGTGATCTGAGTCTCAGTCCTGGGGTACAGGGCAGGGTGGGGGCCTCTCAGCCCCTACCCAGGTTCCATTCACATTTGCAGCCATTTCTGGCTCCCTGTCATGTGCCATGCTGGAAAGTCCCAGGAAGATCAGCTTTGCTCTGCAGTTCACTAGAGCTCATAGCAAATCACAGGTGAGTTGTTCAGCATAGGCCTTGGGGCCTGCCCAAAGCCAGGAGTTTCCCAGGAAGCAGCCTAGAAGCCTGTGCCCAGCCTTGCTTTGCATGATAAAGGTGTTCCCAGGAGGCGTGAAACCGGAACTTCTGAGTGGCAGCTAGACCCACTGTGGGGGTGGGGGTGGGGGGCTGTTGAAGGGACTCACTCTAACAGGGTCTCTGTGAAGAGCCTTCACCTGGTCGTTTATCATGCAGAAGCCCACAAATCCGTGGTCAGTGACCTGGTTCATATAAATTGGGGCAACCTCAGTGGTCCTATCTCTCTGCACTTGGTGTGTGAGCTCACATCTTGTCTGTGTGTGCATGCGTATGGAAACCAGCCTCGGGTGTCATTTATCAAATGTTGTCCACTTTGTTTTGGAAGATAGGGTCTCTCATTGCCCTGGAGCTCACCAAATACTAGGCTGCCTGGCCAGCAAGCCCCAGCGTTCTGCCTGGCTCTGCATCCCCTGCGCCGGGATTATAAACATGCACCACACCTTGCTTTTTACCGGAGTGCTGGGCATCGAACTTACATCCTCATGCCCAGCTCAACATCTTAACCTCTTCCAGCTTTGTGGCCTCTGTCAGGTAACTGATCTGTGAAGCTTAGGTTCATGTGTTGGATGTAGCATTTGGTCAGATGATCTTAAAGGGGCCTTCCCCTCTCTAGGGACCTAAATGAGACTCCTTTTCTCCCTACTGTGTTTCAATGTGCCAGCCCCAGGCTGGATGAGGGCCCAGCAGGAAGCCACCAGGGTTGGGGACTGCAAGCTCTACTTCGATGACAAGAGCCCCCTGGACATCTACTACCATAGCTCCTCGGAGTGCCAGACTTGGGGGAGGGGGTGTTGCTCAAGCTGAAGTTTCCCTTAAACAGGTGCCAGTTGTGATCCGGCCTCCTGACCTTCCGGGCCAGAAGCCAGAGGAAGAGGTTTAGTTGCTTTTGGTGGCCCAGGGACTGGGAGGACAGAGGGACGGACAGAAACTGCGACTGGAAGCCACACGGTGGAATGGTGGCAGCTGTTTCCAAAGTTGCGCCGAAGCCAGGCTTTCCGCCCAGCGGCGTGCCAGCTGTAGAACTGGCCAAGGAGAGTGGAGGGGGGTTGGTGGCCCGGGAGAGAGTTTCCCACCAGGCCGGCGTGGCTAGGTGGATCCCATGAAACCAACACCTAGGAAAAGCCGCGCTAAAAATAGCCGGGGCGGGGCGGGGGGCAAGCGTGTAACCCAAGCCGGGGCGCTGCTGTCGGGCTGCGCGTCCGGCCTCCG